CCATCCCTTTCAATCGCGATTCGCCGCCATGCAGCACTTGGCAACAGGGGGGAAAATGTGCGATCGGCGAAAGAGCCCGCAGGAGTAGTAGGAGTAGGATGCACGCATCGGTTGATGGTTTTTAACCGTTCGAAATATTATCATTATCATAAAGGGAAGCCGGAAGGAATTGCGAAAGAAGAGAGAGGAAAGAAAATGAAAATGAGTCGGACCTTGCGTAACCTACATCCGCTCCTTCCATGTGGCGTTTCTTACGACTTTGTCCAATCGACTGGATTCAGTGCTCCAGATACGTATATGCGAATTAACTGGTGCCATGGACCTCCTGAAGTTCAATATCAGAGTGTATACTTACATCGAATGCGAGTACTCCTAGATCAAGCGCACATCATATGATTATCAGAACTAAGAAAAAGAAAAAGAACATCTCGACCACCATTACACCGCCCAGACCCGAATCGAACGGGTGTGATCCGCTTGAACTTCATCCGCTCTCTTCAAATTCTTGTGGATGCGCACCATACGCCTCCGGGCCCCGTTTCCTGAACTATCTTATATCCTCGCGAATCATCTATTCGACTTGCACTATTCAATCGAAAAGTAAGTTGTACACAGCTAATAGTAAGGGATATTTTGATAAGTGTTACATTTCATTCGAGGCGTTGTTGAAGCGGCACATGTGGATGGAGTGGATGGACAAAAGCAGACGGACAAAGGCACACACTTCTTAGGTTGAAACTTGAGTGAAGCTGGAAGAAAGAGGATGGAAGGCATTCAGGGTGAAGTGGCCAAAAAGAAGTGGAACGAAGCAAGTATGACCCCGACCCGGATTGAACGGGCCCCAAACTCTTGCAAGAAGCCAATTAGTCCGTCACCCTAGACATTTCCCCTCCCCTTTAAGGTCTCAGCTTACAATCAAATACAGATTCAACCTGTCTAGTGATACAAATTCGTTCATGCTGAGACTGAGTACATGCTCCCACCGAGGACCCAAATCTCCCCATTCCTCTGGGGATCGCAGCGTATTTACAGGCCCACAACACATACCAGCGCCAGCGTCATGAGAGCGACGCCGAGCATCTCCAGTCGTGGACGCATCTGCATCCCACCATTATCCTTGTCCTTGTCGTCATCCCCGCCGTCCGCGCCGTCCGTGCTGTTCGATGACGCTGGTGGGCATCGGGCGCTTGCGGCGTCACCGCAGGGCCGGAATCATTGTCGCTCCCCGGATCGGTCGCAACGTTCTGGTCGATATCTGCGGTTTTCAGCGCAATCCGAGCCGCGCTGCACGAGGAGGCAAAATCTGTACGTGGATGGTCAGAGGGAGTTTATTCATTGGTGGATTGAGAGTTCAGAGTGGCGGATGTAATATTTTGTGCTGATTGGTGAAAGTAGGGGGAGATGGTATACGTACTGTTCAGGGCGGTCTGAAAGAAGGCCAGCGGCTCGACGCGGGCAGTGACCTGACATCCGAAGCAATATCTGGCCTGGCTTTCAACGAGCGTGGTGCAGAGCTGTGGGATGTTGATCGCGTTCTGGTTGAAAAATAACCAAAATTGAAGCAGTGCCGCCATGTAGGGAAAGCCAACGCACCACGTAAGAGCTTTCCACCGCGCGGCAGGCAATGGTACAGCGCGGTGAAACGCCGCCTTTTGCAAGCGCGTTTAAGATGACCACGGCTGGTGCCAACGGTGCGTCCCGAGTGATGATAGTTGCAGCTTGGAGTTGGTGACTATTAATTGAGCGTTCCGGATACCACGTGTGTACTCACCGAGAGAAGGGGATAGATGTACCAACAGAGACACGCAGGCAAACAAAATGGAAGAAGGGCCCAACATCTTCAAGGAAACGAAAGTGAAGCTGAGGCAACCTGTTGCCGATGAAGTAAAATAATTCCGGGAAAGCGGAGATCGGGAGGGAGCGAAGGAAAAGGGAAAGCTACAAGTCGGTGAGAAAAGGTGCCGGATTTATAGGGCCAGGGCGTTGCCCTCGCCTTGGCTGAATTGTCGGTTCAACCAGCGAGAACGTTGATGGACAGATCGGGTGTCGCAGCTGAACAAACGTAATGGGTCTGATGAACAATGCAAGGCGCCTAAATATGTGTGGATTTTTTTGCGGGTCCCACCAATCTCCCGCATACTTTCTGTGGTAGAGGGAGCCCGAAGGAGGCATCCGGAGGATATAGAATGAAGAAAACATACGAACGACCCTCTCATTTTCTTTCTGCATGCAGAAGTCTTCGAGCAGCCCGCAAACTTGGGGCCTCGCCATCTACTGTAACAGCTTAGAGTCAAACACAGCTTGGATCGACGAATCCTCAGCAACGGCGCTGTCATCTAGACTCATGATTACTCCCTTTGCATTCAATGTGAGAACGTGTTACCATGTTTGATCGGGAGAACGGGAGAGAAGAAACCTTAGTTGCCCGAAGGGCGCGGATGTGTGAAAAAGAAGCGAAAGGTTGTCTACAGTGAACACGGTGTCAGATTATCCCCAAAAAAAAAGAAAAAAGAAAAACAGTATATGTTTCTGAAGATATGAGCTTGCCTTGAAGTAAGATATTACGGGCATCTGTGTTCATGCAGATGGCAATGCCAAGAGTCCAAGACATTTGAGATCACCACACCCAGAGGCTCCGTACTGGATTCATCCACTGCACGCCACTCAGGCAGGCTCTGATGAGAAAATACAAGAAAATCTGAAGATAATTGCGTACCAAATTGTGACACCTTATGCGACCAACGCACGGGATAAATGAGATGCCCCCAGGCCGCGAGATCGAACTTCTCCCTTTCTAGCTCGACTGCCCCCCATCCCCATCTTCCAACGTCGCAACTCCTTCACACACTCAACGATACCCAACCCGCCCACGCTGCCACCGGTGTACGTGTGAGCCCGTGTCCACGCCCGAGCGCGGTGCATACGTTGGAAAATGCTTGAGTACGTCTGATGGTGGAATGAGTCCCAGTACAATTTCCACTGGTGCGATGTCCATCCATGGAGAGAAGCCCTGGGGAGAAGCGAACGAAGCGCGAGTCGGACGGATTGACTCGGAGACGGAAGTTGTACCGAATTGAATTGCGCGTAATCGTCGTAACTGTAAAGTGCAAACGCAAACAGGGTGTGGCGGCCGTTACGGTGTGGTGTGGCCATGCGGTGAATATGGCATAGACGCCCAGTTGTTGACATCGATACGGGCCTCGGATAGAATAACAAGGTGGCGAGGTAGCGGGAGCGCTCGCGGGCGGATGGGGCCGGCGGGGGGCAGGAGTAGGAGAGAGTATCGGTCATGGCGTGGTTGTGAAAGAACGGGCTGGGAGAGACAATTAGTTGAAGGAGGGAAGGCAATTGACCAGCAGGACCAACTCGGACCAGGGGGAACCGGAGAGCAACACAAGGGCCGTTTCTGTGCGTCTCCGAGTCACGAGAGAGTGGGGGAAGTGAGTGGCTTCGCCGCGTCGTAGGGGTCCAGGAAGGGGATTCAGTCCGTCGTCACAATCTTACTAGTAGCAGGGAGCTAGAGCCTCTACGCGCCGTTTGCGCTGCCCAGGCCGTCTAGCTCGAGAGTCGAAGCTCGAAGCTCGAAGCAGTGAGCAAGTATGTAGTACGAGAAAGCTGAGCCACTTCTCGTTCTCCCAGCCTTTACATTATATAGAGTCTCCGAAAGCGGCGAGCCAGGCTTCTGCGGAGTCGTCGGCCTACAAGATGGAAGAGAAGAGAAAAGAAAATAAGGTGACGGCAGAGGCACGGAAGCAAAAGCGGAATTTATGAAAGCCGGCTGCTGATCACCCAATGGGGAATGTTCCCTGAACAGCCACGCTACCCAAGCTCAAGGCTGCCCACTAGCCACGGATTCGGGCTCCCGAGGCTTTCCGGTTGTAGTAGCTGTGCGCCACACTGCTCTTCCTTCGACCACGACGACAACGAGGAGCAAGAACAAAGGCAACATACATACGACAATAATTGATCATGGTCATCCAATCAGTCCCGCACCTTTGGTCATCCAATCAGTCCCGCACCTTTAAGTGAAGACGCCACGCTACAGAAAACGAGCCGCGAAACGCCTCTTCAGCTTCAACATTCATTGAGAACTCGCCGGTAGTAGATAGCTTTCAAACTCGCCGATATATAGCAGATGATGGTGCAGCGATTGTGGGATGATCAATCTGTCTTGAATCGGCAGCCCATTTTCGAGTGGAATGTTGGAATTTGAAGATTCTACATTTCCCTTCGGCCGACATCGATATACACCCCGCAGTGCCCAATGACGAGAAACTGTCCGCTAAAATTAAACGATCCATGCCAGGTCCTTCGCGGCGTTGGTGTACGAAAGGTAGCTGTCATTAGTTCACATGGGAGTTCGAAGCCTGTAGACTTATGCAGTCTTCATAAATCCACAGTCAAAGTTGGTCGATAACGTTGATCATGTTTTGAATGCGTGAGGTTGTTTTTGAACCGTGGGAAGCAGACTCTGATGGATGATCGAAGTGGTGCTGATCATAACCGGTTCTTTCAACGCACTTCCCCCGATTGGGTTTAGGTCGAGGGCGGCGTGATGTCAATCCGGGGTGGCTCTCGAGCGGGCTCAATGCGAACTTGGTCTCATGCACGATGTCTCGAATTTAGGATGGGACTTCACCCGAAAACAAAGTGGGATCATTTGGACCCGTAATTAGACTAACAGCCGTGTTACTTAGACTTTCCGTTGCATCGATAGGTTACAATCCCTTAGACTTCCATTACCATGATTCACTTCATCTCACATCCTCCCCTGATGGCAGAATCTAATGACATAAATCATACTAGGCTTGGAGTTAACACCGGCAGGGTGAAAATTGAGCGTCGAAACTGAAATGTGGATGGATCGAACCACTGGCCAAATCGGACATTGCAGTTGCAGATGAGAAGAAAGAAGTGCTGGCGTAAATTGAGAAGGCGCCGACCAACACAAAAAAAAAAAAAGGAAATGTGCAAAGAGAGAGACCACGAAAAAAGGTGTATGGCCATCGTGGGGGTCGAACCCAAGACCTTCGCGTAACAAGTGTCTCACGACTAACATATTAGCACGACGCTCTAACCAGCTGAGCTAGACGGCCGACCTTCATCGCCAGCCTTCCGCCATTAACGGGTCAACCGGATCTGCAGTCCTACGAGAGGAGACGGAAAAAAAGCATCTCAAGCTATGTAAATGCCTCCACATCTGTCCTTCTGCCTATTTTTTCCGGCCAAGATTCAACCAAGACTGAAAAAAGATTGTAAGCAAAGAATGGATTGTGTGCTGCTGTGTGGTGTTTTACGCGACGCGTTTGAATCGCGTGATGCATCGAGGTTGCACCGCCTTTGCCATCAAATATATTTCTCTCTTCTTGTTTCAACAGCCTCAACTCTGTAATTATGAGTGAGGGCCCGCCGAGCTCCTCTTCCTCGAGAACCCCTTTCGTAACGACAAGGAACAAAACTCCCGACTCACTGAATTCCGGTATGACTTCCTCCCCACGCATGAGAGCAATGTTCAAGTCCACGCACAGTACCACAGTGTCGGGCCGTCCTGTAGCCTCCACTTCGCTTGATACTATCCAAGTACTTCTGCGCCCAGCACTCACACTCGCGGCCCTCTATATCCAGTCCTCAGCGCTGGATCTTGCATACCACACCCATCTTTCACTGACACCAATACGCTGAATCTGCCCTGTGCTACATCCAACGTCGGGCTTCAGTGGAAATGGGAATCCTGCTGCCTGCACGTACTTGGTGAACATATCTATTCAGACTGAAACATGACATGCCCGTTCGAGTCAGGTAAGGGCCATGCAGTGCTTTGGTAGGCTTTTTTCTCTGGCTTCCTGTTTCATCTCGCTCACAATTGCTGAGGCCCAGTGCTTTTCGCACATGGGCTCCCGCTTTCCGTCGCATTAGCTTGCAGCTGCGCCGACGCTACAAACTCCTTGTCTGTCGATGGTCCCTCCAAATTCACCGTCAATTGCCAAGTTCTTTGGGTCGTCCCATATTCCAATGATCCAGATTCTCGGCTGCGTCGAGTTTCACACCAGCCTCTAAGTCCAGCAAACACCGGTTTGATGGCGCTGGGTCGCCTGCAACACCCTCGATTATTAAAGTGTCGTCTGTATTTTCTGGTGGATATTCCCGTTCGACTCGGGATCGAACCATGTGATTGCATCCCCACAGTTTTTTTTATCCCTGGCCGCCAGAACGGTCCTTCCGGTTCTGATTTCTCGTCCCGCATCGTTTCCTGCGAAGCAGTTGGCGACATCCAAGTATGTAGAAGATTCTGCGATCGACCATCCCGGTGGGACACCGCACGCGCTCTATCATCCTGGTCCCTGGAAGATCAGATCATCTGGGTGCGTCCAAAGACCATTGCTCCCTTCCATCTATCTTCATGTATAGGCTGGCTTTGTTTTTCTTTCTGACACTAGGACACCATAGCTGCACCTCTTGAACTTACTGACGCTCACTGGCTATTCCATGCACGGTAACAATTCATCAAGATATTCCGCACACTGGTAGTGGGGTCATGCGTGTTTGAAGTGAACCGTGCTACTTCGGCATCTACGTCAATGCCCGGTGAGTACCTCCATCATCGGACTGCAATATCGGACGGCTTATTTTTGTGACTGTAGATGATGTTCCACCGTCGTAGTTGCCTATTTTTGCTGCTCAAAAATCAGCTTCGCAGATTCCCGCATAGGCATTCTATTTAGCCGCAGACAGTCTCCCTCAACTGACGTCTGCGTATCATCCTGGTCGGTATACGCTCCCCGCTTCCTTTCCATCCAGCTTGTCACATCGAAAATAGGCAGGTGTTTCCCATCGTGCCATCCACGAGGACATTGGTTTTCTAGTGGGCGTGTTTCACCTGATGTACATACTACTCCCACTCCCCAGTACTCCACCGTAGATCTCCGTTCTCCTCTACGACGTTCACGCCGGTAGGTGGCGGTGACCGGCGCTTGGCTACTGCAGACACTTTCGGTCGCGATGTTATGTTCTCGTTCAATTTGTGGACCCCAAATTGAACGAGAACATAATTGGGGTTGGGCCTTATAACTATCTCCCAACGTGTTGATTTTCTGTCCTTTTTCTTTTTCTTTTTCTTTTTCTTTCTCACTGGTGCCGACTGGCTTTCGTATTCAGAAACTCTCTCAAGTCCGCGAATACTTGTTCCATTTTACCTGGTGAGCGCTTCTTGGTGCTCAACCCTTAGCCTCTGGATGCACATGTCTTACGCGTGCCTCCAATAAGTACCGTCCAACCATACCGCTGACCCCTGCACCGTGCTGGTTTTCGTAAAATGTTACACACTCAACCCTTAAGATTTACTTAATCATTCACCGCAGTCACCAACGCAGAATTTTCCTGACCGACCATTCACCAGGGTTATTTCGTGGGCCCGTTTTAATTCCATTTGACACCGCATCAAGTTCTGAACCTTGGTCTCAACCCTAGGCCGCTGCTAGTTGTTGAATCGCATGGACCACACAAGAGCTCGATGGAGTTGGACCCCGCCTGTGATGTCTTTCCCCAAAGCCGAGACTTTACAAGCATATCCCCGTTCCATTCGGAGTCGAGCTATAACACAGGTCAATCGTTTTATCTTCTGCGGCTACACTGGCTTTCTTTTTGGTGCCGCAGAGTTCCGAATGCTGCCAAGGATTTTTGGCTCTTTCTCAATCTCGTTATTCTTCACAGATCCAAACCTGCATAGCATCTATTCGACGAAGATCATTGTTTCGGTGGGTTTATCACCAAGCTGCGCCGTCTAGACTTGAGGAAGCGAGCGTGTCAATTTCGTGGCAGGATATCTTCTTTTGGCTGGCGAGGTGCGGCGGAACCATTATCAAGCCAGGACGACAAATCGGCCCTCTTTCACGTCATGTTCGCATGCTTTTTATAGCAGATTCATACTGATCAGGGCATTTCCATGCAGCAAACTAGACACCCAAGTTTTACATTTTACCCCGCTGTGGACGTGAATCTAGTCCCAAGTTCACTCCATCCATTCTCTACAATCAATTTCGTGTCTCATTATTATTCACAACTCTCGGCAGTCTAAATTCAACGGCCAATCGGGCGCATGTCTGTCGTCATCGGCGCCACACTCGAGATGGATATCTAGGCGCCCAAGGGTGTATAAAAGCTAGGTGACACCAATCGATCCGCGTCTTCCCTTCCTTACCCACATCGAAAGCCGCCATATTTTCGTAACTGTAGGAAGATTATTGCCTTCTCCATATCAGCGAACTGACGTGCAATGATAAGTGACAGGGCTTTACTATGGACGCTGGCTCAGACAACGGTCATAGGGCATTGACTCCGGTGCGTGAACTGCAGTATTTATACTCGGAAATGTGAAACATGCCCGGTAGGAAGAAGCAATTATTCACTTGAAAGAACTGATCAAACGAACCCCTTCGGGTCATCAAGAACTTCCCCTATATCATCATGAACTAGGACTGGTCTTCGGACAGACTTACGAGAAGACACGGAAAATGAGGTTCCTTGATGGTTCATTGCAAAGCCATCGGACAGCGGTGGCTCTGACTTCAGAGGATCATCCTCATCGGGCTAGCTATCTTCGCGACTGGGGAATAGCGTTTGGACAGAAATATGAGGCTACTGGAGAACTTACAGACCTGAATAAGGCAGTACAGAATTTTCAAGCTGCTCTGAACCTAATCCAAGCAGATCATCCCCACAGGCTTACCTATCTTCGGATGCTGATAGGGGCACTTCAAGCTAGATACAAGGCAATTGGTCAATCAAACGACCAGGATGCCATCATAAAGTATCTTCAGGTCGCTGTAGAACTCACTCCGGAGGGCCATATCGATAGACATGACTACCTGAAATCTCTGGCTCCAGAGTTTCAGGATCGGTATGAAACATCGGGCAATATGGATGATCTGGAAGCTGCGCTGGGAATACAGAAAGAATTACTCCAAATCACTCCAGAGATACATCCAAACCGTTCCGATTGGCTCCAGGATTATGCTGTGTTACTGCAAACTCGATATCACAGGTTACAAAATCTAGATGATCTCAACATTGCGCTACAGAATAGCCAAATAGCATTGGATCTCACACCCAATGGTGATTCTCGCAGATCACAGCGTCTGAACAATGTTGCTGTACTATCAGAACAGCGCTATTGGAAGTTCCAGAATCCTGTGGACTTTGACAGTGCAATGCAAAAGTACCGGGAAGCAGCAGACATCAGCCCGGAGGGTTCCTCTGATTGGTCAAAACATGTTCAAAAACTCACTCTATTTCTGATAGAGAGATACAACAAATTGGGAGAGGCACAGGATCTTGATGCCGCAGTGAAAGCGAGCCGAAAAGCAGTTGACCTAATTTCCGAGGATCATCCTGATATGCCGGGCCATCTGCAAAATCTTGCTGTGGCGTTGATGCATCGATACAGGAAGTGCGGAAATCTGGAGGATCTGGAGGTTGCATTGCAAAGAGAACAAGATGTGCTCAATCTCACCCCCGAGGATGACCCACAGCGATCAATCCATCTATACAATTTTGCGATATCATTGAGAGACCGCTATCAAAGGCTCGGGGATGTGAACAGTCTTGACAGTTCCATAAAGATTTACCAAAACGTGGTTGATCTGACCCCAAGTGGTCATCCTTCTCGATCGTTGCGAGTTGAAGCTTTGGCAGTAACACTGGCACTTCGATATCACAAATTTAGCAATCTGGAAGACCTCAACATGGCACTGAAAATGGACCAAGTGGCGGTCGATTTAACTCCGAAAGGTGACTCTGACAGGCCAGGCCGTCTGCACAATGTTGCTTCCGGGCTGCTGGATCGATATCTGAGACTCGGAGACATAAATGATGTTGAAAATGGCGTGCATAGTGAAGAAGAAGCGCTGGGGCTTATATCAGACAGACATCCAGATAGAGCAAACTATCTCCATACTCTTGCGAGATTGTTGTTGGAAAGATACCGGACACTGGGAAAGCTGAAAGACGTTAACGCTGCTCTCAGGACTGGGAAAGCGGCACTTGAGCTGACCCCAGAAGGTCACCCTGATATGCCAGGTCGTTTGCAAAACTTTGCTAC